AAGTTCAATGCCTTTTAAAAAATCCACTATGATTAGAATGGTCACTAATTCAAACTGATCTTTCTTATAACTGGTCTGAATTAGTGAGGCTTTTATAGTATTACTGGCCACCATCAATTTAATACAAAAGGATGTAAAATTACTTTACATATTCCTTTAGTAGTACTATAGTTGAGAATATCGGACCAATAGGAAAGAAACTTTTGCTTAGGAAGTTCACATTCTTCTCCTCTGGTATATGATGGGAACTTTTTCCTTTTTCTTTTTTTTTTTTTTTAAATTGATGACCTGTCACCTTACCTTTTTTTTTAATCATTGAGGAAAATGTAACATAGACAGACATATAACTCAAATGCAGCTCCGAAACCAAATAAGGTAGCAACTTATTATTAAATGTAGAGCAGACTAAACACTTTTTAAAAGAAGCATCAGATTTCAGGCTTCAGCTTTGTGCTTGGCATTTAGACTTTGGAATAGTCATACTTGCTGGGCAGAAGCACTTGACACTAGGCAGACTGTGGACTAATTGGGAAAGTTAGCAAGTTGCTTTTTTTTTCAATAGTTCTAGCCGTATACTTGTTGTCCTTCCGAGATGTAATGTGGTGCGGGATTTCCTATTGTTTAATTGATGGGTGAATTCCTAAATCATAATGCCAAGTTTGTGGTACTCTTCTGGGTAGATATACAAGTAGAGTCTTTGCATGGCAACTACCTACCTATTTACAGAGGCAGTAATTCTATGAAAAGTGCCCCTTTTTTCTAGAAACAGAGTCACCATTCCAGGAAGGGAACCAGATATTGAAACATGACAAACTTTACAAAAGATTTTTTTTGTTGCTTTTGGTGCCAATCTTTCTTGACTGATTGGTTAAAAAAATCCCCCAAGGATGTGTGAGACAAGTACAAGTGAGTAACATTTCTTACTTCACTGGCCCCAGGTGTCTGGGTCTCCTGAGAACATGGTGTGCTATTCGCAAACTCTCTGTGAGAAGGTAACATACAAGTGTTTATGCAGCACCAATTCAGATTTACAAAGGTAATAACAACAAAATACTTTCAACTCGGATAAAGTTTAGACTCAAATGTTATTAACTTTTAGTTTAGTGTGAGATTTCAAGTTATCGCCTACTCTCACTCAGATGGTCCTCACTGAAGTGGAAGCACTAAAAGAAAGGTGAGCAGAGGTCCTTAACCAATCATCTCAGCTGAGCTCCCGTTGGAACTAGTTCCTGTAAGTCCTTGGAGTGTGAACTGGTACTAATGAACACACCTTAGATATTCACCAATAGAGCATCAGCCACTATTATTCAGGACATAGAAATTGCTGGGGCTGTAGCTAACTGGTACATGCTCTTGGTTCTAAATAAGGTATGGTTTGCAAGAATTTTAATTTATGGCCATGGATATTACCCACTTACTTCAGGTCTCATTTCAGCTGGCATAGTTATTTGACAAGGCATTCATGACTGAGAAACTCTGTCTCTTTTCTTTAAGCTGCTGATAGATTTAGCTGTCCCCTTTTTGAAGATTTGCACATTTTCTGGCTTACTTGGAACTGGTACCATGTGGGATCAAAGACAACTAGAGACCCTGTATTAATTCTAATAAATGTTAAAACAAAAGTTAAGCTCCATTTTCTGGTTTCCGTTGTAACTGGAAAGAATAGCTCATTCACAAGAAGAGAATGAATTAAAAACTAGGAACAAGTGTGCCTTATCTTTTCCAAATGTGGATATAAATATCTTCTTTGCTTTTCCCTCAGTATATCAGACGACAAAGAAAATCACATTTGGTAACAACTCTGGGGGCTTCAGGTGGGTCTTCTGCTCTAGGGACGGGAGGGAACAACTTTCCTTATGGCCCATGGCTCCCCTTGTTCCATAGCTTTTTTTCTCTGTTGCGGCAGAGAGGTTCATAATGATGGACAGTGTCATTACTATCCCTGTGCCATGTTCCTTCAGCCTCCTTGCTGCTGTGTGTGGGTGTGTGCTGGTATCTGGGAATAATTTTGCTTTAGAGGAGACAGAAAACATCTCTCAATTTTGCTTGGGGCTTGGCCCCCCAAACGCCAGCCTGAATTCAATTTCATGAACCATCTCATGAACTCACCTCAGAGTTCAGGAGTCTTATGGAGCCTGCTAGGATTACTGTTCTGTACCTGGAATCATGGCCCTCAACTTGTAAATCTCCAACAAAGAAGAACAGAGGAATAAAAGGAACATTAGAACCTGGCAAACTAAATTCCTATCAATGACAAGTGGTCTAATATTTCAGTTCTGTTATGTAATGTTTTCTCAGGTTTTTTAGTTCCAAAAATGTTCCTACAATATAGTGGAGTGTCTGTAGGATTGTAATGCAGTTCTAGTGTATGAGGGATGTGAATGATTTCACGGTATTTCAAAAGAACCAAGGATTGTTAGGATTGTCAATTACCGATACAACCATGTGACTCAATTTCTAAATGGGGCCTGGGGCAAGTTTCAGTTTCCTCATAATTAAAATGGGGAAAATAATCTTTACCTAATGTGGTTGGTGTGAAAATTAATGAGATGGTGCACACGAAGCACTTAGCAGTATGCCTGGCATAGAATAAGCACCCAATAAACGGAAAAATACACACACACACAGACACACAGGCACGTGTTCTTTTACTTCCACTCTCAGGTCTTGTCTATTTACACCTTCTGTTCAGAAAATGCCTTTATCTGTGTATCTAGCCCTCACCTCTGGTATCATTTCTAGTGTCCAACCCGCTGTTACTGATGTTCCCGTTCAGCTGCCCTTTAGATGGCCGTATGTTTCTTTGACCCACTAACAGTGACTTTTGAAGTGAACCCGTTAGGGGTAGTGATTTTAGGATTCACAGAATCACGTAATTTTAGAACTTTATTTGAAAGATGAGGAATATGAAGTCCACAGAATCTAGGTAATTTCCCCCAAATCACATGATTTCAAATCTAGATTTCGGGGTTGTCAACTTTGTGTTTTATACATACGACAGAGGCCTTTGGATCTGGGAAGTAAGTCCGGGCAAAGTATGGGATTTAGACTGAGAAGAGATTATGTCTGAAGGTAAGAGAGGACTTAATAGTGATAAGATGGTTACAAACTATGCAACCTTGTGCAAGGTACTTAACTTGTGTCTCCATTTCTAAAATAATATGCACTCTACTTACCTCATAGGATATTGTAAGATCTAGATTCTAGAGGATGTGGATGAAAATGTTTGTAAACTGAAAAATGCTGCATAAATACTAATTTTATCTTTTATAAGCACACAACACATAACTGTTATATATATATATATTGGATACATAGGTATATATGTGTGCATCTTAATAAATTAATGTGCTAATAAAATCGTTTCAAATAAAACCCAATCCTTTGCATATCTTTTATTTGTAATGTGCAATTTGTGATCATCTGTGGTAGGCTCTCTGTATACTCCAAAGAGAGCTCAGTATCTTGGAGATCAGGCTAAGAATGGGAAAGAATGCAGATGGGGATTTTGCTGCATTGGAATCCAAGTCAGTCATTTGGATGCTTAACAGGTAGGAAAGCCCCGTCCCGAAGGGAATCAGGAGACTTTGCCTCTGAAAGGCTAAGTGAAGATATCAAGCCATTTTCAGCTTCATGAATATTAAGATATTCTTTGACTCTCAATGGATAATTTACTAGTATTAACTTCTCTCTGTATGACTTAGAAAAGTAAATATGATTCTAGTTTCTTGTCATATAGGAATTTATAAAGAGTGCAGAAATGGGAAATTTGTTTCAATTTGAGGGCACTCTTCACTTGACTGGTGGTGATAACTTAGAGAACCGCGCAGAACGAGATTTTGAGACAATGTAAGTCAAGCTTAACAAGTACCATAATCAAGCTAGCAGTGTCTGCCATAGGCTCAGGTGGGGATAATACATGTACATAGTGGAAATAGCACTGAGGCCTCAGTTTTAATCTTGGTGTCACCACTTCTACCTGGGACACTTTGAACAAGACCCTTAATCACTCAGGGCTTCAGTTTTCTTCATTTGCAAAATAATTGGCATGGCCAGACTTCCCTCCATGGTTCTTTCTGGTTCTTATATCTTCTCTTTCTGAGAAAGGGGCAGTTTACACAATTTTATTCATGTCAACTCAAGTATACTTTTACCAAGGAAGATGACTGTCCTTAATGATTACAAAAGTGTAATTCTACCCTACTTATCTTATAGGATCTTGTGAGATCTGGATTCTAGATAATGTGTGAAAATATTTTGTAAACTGCATAAATATTAAGGCACAAATAGTGGCTTCAGATCCTCCAGATTTCTAAGTAGTAAGCTCTCTAGACAGTCAAGAATATGAAGGAAATTCTATTCTTTTTAAAGAATATTCTCAGTACATTCTTTTGGCTATAGCAAAGGAAAATAAAATTAATAATTATATTTTTAATGGATGAAAGCTGAATATGTTTGACTTAAAACGTTTCATCATCCTTCTGTGACGCTCAAAATGAGAGAGAGAATTGCTAAATTTTCCTTCTCCATTAAGAGAAAGGAATTAACATGCTTGTTTGTTTCTTTTTGTTTGATATGAAAATTTACAAAATCTTTTTCCCTCCCAGCCCCCTGAAATCAGGCTTAACATTGGTTCAGCAGATTTCCTAATTTTAGCTAAATCACTTTTTTCAGTTAAAATAAAGTCATTCTACACATTGCAATGTGTATTCAAATGACATGGACCCCAGAAAATCGGCCATGGGATCTCCTGAAGTTGTCCAAAAGGAGGTTTGGGAAACCCTCACATGCTGCAGCCTATTACACGTGGGATTCCTCCTTTGAGATTTATGGTTTTATTTTTTCCATATTCTCACTTTATTTAAAGGGCTGGAAGATTATGGACAGCCAGTTGGCATCCTAATTAACGCAAGGGGAGGGGATTAGTGAATTTAGCTCATGCTTGCTATTGGCTTTTGAGGAAGAGATCCTATGTATGATCACTTGGTCTCTGTTTTCAGATCAGACTCCAACCCCAACGAGATTCCTGAAGAACTGCGAGGAAGTGGGGCTCTTCAATGAGCTGGACTGCTCCCTTGAGCATGAGTTCAGGAAGGCTCAGGAGGAGGAGAGCAGCAAGCGGGTAGGTTTGCTTGGATGGACACCTTGACAGGTGCAGCCTCTTAACACCTGCTAGAAATTTCTGCATGGAAACTGAGTGGCATTGCAGATTGGGCCGATGTGGCCCTAAAATAGTATTTTATCTATTTGCAAGTGTTTGTCTAATGTTTAAAAAAAAAAAAGGATGAATCCCTGATTGTGGTAGAATCCTAAAGCTAGAGGGCCGGCCCGGTGGCTTAGCGATTAAGTGCGCGCGCTCCGCTGCTGGCGGCCCGGGTTCAGATCCCGGCGCACACCGATGTACCGCTTGTCCGGCCATGCTGAGGCCGCGTCCCACATACAGGAACTAGAAGGATGTGCAACTGCGACATACAACTATCTACTGGGGCTTTGGGGAGAAAAAGGGGGAGGATTGGCAATAGATGTTAGCTCAGAGCTGGTCTTCCTCAGCAAAAAGAGGAGGATTAGCATGGATGTTAGCTCAGGGCTGATCTTCCTCACAAAAAAAAAAAAAATCCAAAGCTAGAAAAATTATGGGAAAAACAGATATCTGAAATACGAAATTCAAGCAAAAAAAAAAAAAAAGTTACCTGATTCTTGAACCAGAGTCAGATAATCTCACAGACTTTTTCTATTCAAAACTTGTTTTACTTTGCTAAATGTTTAGTAGCAAGCCCTACATGGGTGGTGAGTGCAGAAGATGAGTCAAAGGGACAACAGACGAATAATCCTAGCAGTAGGAGAGGGGAGTTCATCTGATTTGGGCCCAGGTTGTGACTATCTGATTTCCATAATCTTCCTGGTAGATCTCCACCAGGTTCACAGTTACTTCCTAGTCATATTATTGAACATCTGTTGTTGTTGAGACAAATAGGTCAACTATAAGTGTGGATTATTTGTTCTTACAAATGTAGAAAATCCACTTTATGACTCCCTCCAGAATATATTCAGTTTTATTGTTGTGCTGGCATTTTAAAATCACTTTACAAGATTAAGGAAAGGAAATGGGGTCACAAGTAAATGTGATAATGAAGCTTTTCAGTAGTTTCTTCATTGTTATGATAGAGCATTATTGAATGCCCACAATCTGCTGAACAACAAATGAGATACGTTTCGTGAACAGCGACTTACAATGTGCAAGTTGGTTGAAAGGAAGGACCAGCTCGGTCGTAATGGATTCTGAAGTTCCAGCTGTTCCATCAGGAGAAGAAATTTTAAAAGGCTCTGATATTTCTCTGAGTGTCTCAAAACCTTTGAATCCTCCTCTATGTGAAATTATAATAATCCCCTTCCACCAGATTTTTCATGTCATGTTCTTAGATGAAAATAGTCAAAGGCTTGTATTCAGTCTGTACTGCTTTAGGAAAAATCATGAAAATAGGTGAATGTTACAAGAAGGGTATAAAATCTCGATCAACTCATTTTATTTATTTATAATTAATTTGTCATTCATACTTGATGCGCCCTCTCCCCTCCCCCCGGGAATATAAAGGGCCTTTTTTCTTTTCTTACACAAGCATTTATTTAGCACTTATTTGCCAGGCACTGTTCTGAGCACTTCAAAAATTTAACCCAATAAAAATAGAAGGTGTACATTCTATATTTCCTTGCAATAGAAATAGATTTTTTTTAAAAAACATGAAAACAGCAAAGGAGAAGAAGAACCAAAAAGTCTAGTAAATTTTCTCTGGTTGAGTAATAAATTTAGCTCTCCTGGTAGACGTGGTATATGTAGAGGACTGAGGGATTAAGTTCCTTCATTCCTCGAGATAGTCAAGGATGGCTTCTTAGATTAAACTGAACGATAAGAAAGGTATGTACCTGGCCCATATTGTCTTCATTTCTGATAGAATGGTTTTAACTGAAATGTATGCCCTTGATTTTCCTAAAGACATTTACCAAGGACAGCGTTAGGAAGCCTGTGGTAGGGGTGTGGTTTTAGATGTTCTTTTTTACATAGTGCTTATGATCTCCTATAGGAAGTCCCACGGGAGGAAATACTTGCAGATCTGAATTCCAGGAAATAGTTTGCTTCCCCTGAGGAACTGAAATATTTCTCCTCATGGACATGAGAATCATGTAACTGGTTCTGTTTCTCTTTTCGCTTTGACTGCTCGGTTAACATAAAGCCAAGTTTATTGCTTAACTTTGAGAACTTTTTAGAATACTATGATGAGTATGTTTTACTTCCCCCTCCAGACTAGACTTTCAGTTCTAGTTTATATTTCCTCTAGTCCTGATTTTTTATTTAAAAAACATTCTCATGCTATACATTTTTTTGAGAGTTTCTTTTGATTCCTTGTGAGTTGAGAAAGAGTATAAATAATTGAACTTTAAAAATTAAAATAATTAGGAAAGCAAACTTGAGAAAGGGGACTATTGTAGTTGTAGACAAAAATATTTTCTCTCTTTTAAATGTTGCTCTTAGCCATGTGATGATTTCATGATAGCTGTGTGGGTCGGGGATCCTGCGGCCAGTTTCCTCCATGGTTTTGAGGCAGGCCTCTCGGCAGACTACCGTCTCATGTCCCAACCTCACTTGCACGCATTGGAGGCTGGACACCATTGAGGCTGTTGAGGTCTCCTCTTCTCTTGTCTTGTTCAAACCAGAGGAGCCAAATCCAGCCTCGGGTGACCATGGCTACATGAGAGGGCATCTTCTTGAGGCCTAATGTGTGGTGATTCATCCAGCAACCAAATGGGCTGTGCTGGTGGCTTCTGCCCTAGCATTTCTTTCAAAGCCACAAGGTAGGGAAATGAGGAGTAGGAGATGCTCTCCAAAGGCCAATATACTTTTACCCACCCCTTTGACCACATTTCTCCAGCTACCAACTTCCCTGGCACACTGCCACCCCCAGCTCCTACTTCATTTATTGGTTCCCTGCTTAAAATGTAGGAATACAAGCTCTTTATTCAATGCATACCTTATTATTATTGAGTGCTATCTTCTCCTTCTCTTTTGCTCTATCTTCAGATAATTATTTCTTTTTAATTCTATGTCTCCAACTCTCTTCTGATTTCCTTTTCTTTGAGTCTTTTAATAAAAGACTCGCATTAGTTCCCTCAGCAAATTTTAGTAAAGTGGAAGGTGGATTAATTTATCTGGAGAATTTGGTTAAAAAAAGTTCTTGCTTGAACTTTCTAAGTACTTTCTACAAAAATATTGGAAAGACTGGGCTGGTCCTTCCCTCCACCTTCAAATTTCTAGCTGCAGTTTGGTCTAAAAAATTCTGTTAAAGACCAAATAGAGAATTGATCCTTGCTTAGTTCTGTGGCTGTCCATTGGGGAAATTGTGTTCCACAGACTATCTCTAATCCTGACACCCTTTCCCAAAAGCATCTCAATGTGTGTATAGAACAAGGACAGGCTAGAGGCACGTCATGACCAATGGAAAAAGCCCCAATATCTGTATCCATATCATATATAGCAAACAACGCACTCCAAAATTGCCTCAATTTTTCAAGTTAGTGTAAGCTCTTCTTAGCCTCAAAACTCTTTAATAAGAGATTTTTTTTTCCCTTAGGAAAGCATCCATCACTAGCAGGCATCGCAAATCTTAGCTTGCCTATAGCTTAGAGGTCAGGCTAGTCCATGTCCTGAAACAGATGAGAAACTTTTGTTCATCATTTATTCATTCAAGAAATATTTTTGAGTGCCCACACGTGCCAGACACTGTCCAGCGCTTTGGTGACTATACTACTGACTAAAGCTGATAAGGAAAAAAAGAAAACAAGCTTGCTTTCACGTAGCTTACTTCTAGTGGGTAAGACAAGCAAGAAGCAGGTAAAGACAATAAAATGTATAATGTGTCAGAAGGAGATAAGTGCTGTGGAGGAAAATATAGCAGGGAAGGGGCATAGATAGTGCCGGGGGTGGTCAGGGAGGGCAGCACTGGAGAGTGGACGTGCAGCAGAAACCTGAAGAAGGAGAAGGCCTGGACCAGGTGCTTGTTGGGGACAAGAGTGTTCCAAGCAGAGAGAGCGATAAGTGCAAAGCCCTGAGGCTGGAGGTTGCTCAGGGGGTTGGGAGAATTGCAAAGAGGCTAGTTTGGCTGGAGGAGAGTATGTAATAATGGTAAAGAGTGGGTGTAGGGGGGCAGGTCCAGGAGGGCCTGTAGGCTTTGGCTTTTACCCTGAGTGAGATGGGGAATGATAGGACAGTTTTGAGCAGAGGAGTGATAGGATCTGCAGAGTTGAAAGTAAACTGTTGGAGGACAATAGCAGAGAGAGACCAGTTAGGAGGGTATTGAAAGAATCTAGATTAAAGATGATGGCAGATTTATCCAAGGTGGCAGTGGAGGGGGTGGTTAGATTCTAGATCTGTTTTGCAGACAGAGCCAACAGGATTTGCTGATGGATTACATCTGGGGAGTAATGGAAAGAATGGAATCAAGAATAAACCTAGGTTTTAGGTCTAAGCAACTGGAAGGATGGAGTTGCCTGTGGGAAGAGCAATTTGAGGGGGAAATTGAGGAGATTGTTTTTAGACTTGTTAAGTGGGGATATTGAACTGGCAGATGGATATAATTCTGTAATTCAGGAGGAAGCAACCTGTCTGGAGATGTAAATTTAGGAGTCCTTGGCACATATGTGGTGTTTAAATGTATGAGACTCGATGGAATCACCTGGGCCAGGAGTGAATAGAGATGAAGTAGAGAAGAGGTCTGAGCATGGAACTTGGCAGAGTCCTCCAGAATCCTCCAAGACAGAGTATTCAACTCTCCTCAGTGGCCAGAGGTGACACAGAAGACTATGAGGCATGAAGAAGCAAGTCAGGTATGAGAACTCGAGCAGTAATGCTGAATGGACTCCAATAACTAGCAATCAGCATGCTGATTTCGTGTTCCATGTTAGAGGAAAAAACAAAAACAAACCAAAAAGATAAAAAAAAAGAAAAGAAAAAGAAAAAAGAGGAGTGTGAATTGCCTTTTTACATTAGATTTGTTTTTTTAAAAAGAGATTGAATAATGCACATCTAGGAAGTGAGAGAGAGCTTCATCCTATGATAGCAGTTGTGTGTGA